TCAGTTTCGCAATCTCGCTAGAGTAGGATAATATTTCTCACAAAATTTATGTTTGAACGCTGCCCAGGAGATTGGGGCTCCACCAGCATCCATCTTCGGCTTCTTCGATTTCCACCAAAATTGGGTTGGTCCCTCGAACAAATACGTAGCACACAGCACCTTATGATTCTCTAGGCAGTTGTAGAATGTAAACTTTGTTTCAATACATTCTAACCACCATTCAACCGCCTTAGGATCAGTCCCCTTTCTTCCAAAAGTTGGCGGGGTAAGTTTCATAAAATCTCGTATATACTCACTTTCCTCCGTCATACATCGTCGCCCATAAGTTACTACCTGCGGTGGTGCCTCTGTCACCATTGTTGTACCAGGTAGCTTTGTCGAACTTGTTGGAGGTATTGCTGTCTGAACACCTACGGCTGGTGCTTTAGACATTGGAGCCGCCTGGCTAGATATAGGTGTTGTCGGAGCCGCCTGGCTTCCAAGACCAACAAGGGCTGCCTGTACCGCTTGATCCACTCAGCTCTGCACCGCTTGATCTACTCGACTCTCAATCAATGATTGCAATGTCTCCAAAGTAATCACAACCGTCGGTTGATCTCTAATGCTAGACAGAGCAACAGGCTCCAGAACCGCCTCTGCTGGAGCAGTTCCTTCTACATGCTGCTCCTCATTCCCTGGGTCCACATTGGACGTACCAGGGTCTAAACTCTTAAATACTCCCATATCTATCACTCACATAATTAAGTAGTCATAATCAATTCTTTTAAATTTGCATACTATTCTTTCTTACAATTTAGTCATGCATCACTTACCAGACCGAGGTGAGATACCGCTGAGCTGGACTAAAGAGATTCATACTGTCTATTCTAGACTGTCTACAAAACCTATAACTTAGGCTCTGATACCAACTTGTAACACCCGCATATCGACAACCCGACTTACAGGAGTTACCATCGACACCAATAACAAAATCTGACAACCAACCATAAATTTAGAAACATTTCTATAAACCTAGAGTAAAACATTTAAAACTAGTATTATTTAAAACATTAAACAACCAACATAACTTTTAAACAACGAAAAGCGTAACTACATAAACAGACCCAGACATGGATTCCCAATGGTGCCTAGCCCGCTGGCCTCGTCCTCGGTTGGCCTGCATCATCTAAATTTGGAAAGGAAAGTTATAATAATTTTGATGAGTAATTAAATTACCTAGTAAGTAGCTAACTTATCTTTCATGAGTTATAACTAATCTTTACAAGTGTTTTAAAGTTTTATTCGCCATTGACTCATAGTTTCTCTTACTAGGGCCACCTGTTCATTAAGGAGGTATCTCAGCTACCTCGAGCTTAGGTTACTGACTCTCTCTCTATATGCTTATCTAGAATTTTCGGACTTGTATGTAAGACTCGCTCTCGGTCAAATACGACTCGTCTACTAATTTCTCTGGCAGCTTGTTCATATCAGATACCAACGATCAGGAGTACTCATTCTCTCTAACTTAGCACTCAGCGCGTTGGTCAAGAACTCCGCGGGAATTAGTAGACTTACAATACTCATATAAATAAGTCATGGCTCAACAACCAATAAGCATATCCTAGAGTCATAACCTTTCCATTAACATGCATAGCATACTCACGTCTAATGCACGTTTTCATACATTTATGATGTTTGACACAAAACATTCTTGTAATCATTCATAACATGCTTACATCACAAGCAAGTAGTCACAATATACAATAGACATTAAATATCATCAAAGCTCATATTAACATAAGCTCTTAATCATATAAACAACATACTCACAAGTTGTAAAACAAGTTAAGAACTAGTTTAAAGAACGATATGCTACTTACTTGGTTTCGAATCCCTTTTTCCCTTGGATGTACGTTTAATAAGGTATTTCAACCCAATTCCTTCCTATTAGACCTATATTTCACAATTTTCAAGATAAGTATAGACCAATCTTGATAGAACAGGTCAAAACGAGTTGAACGGGACAAATCGGGAGCCAAAACAATGACGCACGCACTCCCACTCTCTCTGTCAACAGAATTCACGCACCCTTTCTTCCTTGCAATTTCCTGCAATTTTCCCACTTCTATATTAATTCCAATTAAGTCCTGAGGCCATGCTCCAACCCTACAGCCCGTATTTCGTCCCGACTTCTTCTATAACTTTATAGATCTCCTTATTACGATTCTAACAAGCCCTATTTCATTACCTATTGCTCAACATACACCAAGATATCAAGTTTTAAAGGTTCGATAATATGGGCTTTGCGTTACCTTCATATAAACGTTTGATTCAGCTCGAAATTGCCCTTTGTCCTTAAAGAACTTCTCGGCAACAACCTCCATCTTCTTATTTCTGAGTAGTAACCGAGTGTAATCAAGCTAAACCACGCCAAATCTGAAATCCCCAATATTTCTACTCTTTTTGGTGTTCCCCTTCTCCCCTGTTCTTCGTTTTTAAATCCAAACTGACTCCCCATCTTGCTTCCACCACTAACTCAAAAATCATCCAACACTCCTACACCTCCAGCCCACGCGTTCCGTTCCCCTTTTTCCTCCATTACAGCGATTCATTTTTTTTTTTTAATTTCCTTATTTACAGATTTCTAATTATTATTATTATTATTATTAAACATCAACACAACAACAAATAAGTACAAATATACATATTATTATTATTATTATTAGATTATGGTGTGCCATTAAACCACCTCCATGAGCTTCCCTCACAAGTAGCTCACGTATGGAACAAGATGGTATGTAAAGTTTGCCTTTTCGGAACAAAAATTCATCTAACAACAATTAATTATCCACAATGAGTCCTTTTTCACAAGATTCAACAAAAGGAGCAAAAAACATGTCATGTTGATACAAATTCGTTATGTGTTCAAAACCCCAAAAACTTAGCATTCAAAGTAGTGAGGAGGACATACCTTCGTGATAAAACATCTGCAACAATGTTTCAATAAATTCTAACCACATAGCATGTAGTCTGTTAAGTTTATTTTGTGCTCTCAAATGCTTTAAACTTTCATGATCCGTATAAATAACGAACTCGTTAGGCCAAAGATAATGTTGGCAGACTTGCAATGCACGAACCAAAACATAAAGCTCTTTGTCATAAGTTGGATACCTCAAAGATGCACAAGTCAACTTTTCACTAAAGAACATTAAAGGTCTTTGATTTTGCATTAATACAGCACCTATTCCTACTCCACTAGTATCACAACTCAAAATTAGGTAATGCAAGCAAGGGAGCAGAACTCAATTTTTCTTTCAAATTATTCAAAGCAAGTTCTTGATCTTTTTCCCATATAAATGATACATTTTTCTTAACAAGTTCATTCAAGGGTGAAGCAATTGTACTAAAATTCTTAATGAACCTAGGGTAGAAACTTGCAAGAGCATGAAAACTTCTTACCTCACTTACACTTTTAGGTGTAGGCCAATCTTTTATAGTTTTCACTTTCTCCTCATCAACCTCAACACCATTAAATGAAACTACAAACCCAAGAAAGTTAACTTTTTCCATGCAAAAGCTACATTTCTTTAAATTTACATACAANACAAACATTTGTTTCTTAAAGTAGTCAAAACATTACATACATGGGTAATATGATCATCTAAAGATTTAGAGTAAACAAGGATGTCATCAAAATAAACAACCACAAACTTACCTAAGTATTCTCGTAAGACATGGTTCATTAGTCTCATGAATGTACTAGGTACATTAGTTAATCCAAAAGGCATAACCAACCATTCATAAAGACCATACTTGGTTTTAAAAGTTGTTTTCCACTCATCCCCAATATGCATGCGAATTTGATGATAACCCGATTTTAAATCAATCTTAGTAAAAAGACTACATCCATGCAATTCATCAAGCATATCATCTTATTTACGAATTGGATGCCTATACTTTATAGTTATGTTGTTTATAGCCCTATAATCAATACACATATGCCAAGAACCATCTTTCTTCGAAAGAATTAGGGTCGTTTCATTTTTGTATCAAGAACTAAGAGTTCGAGAGATAAAGAGAATTAAGGATACCCACCAGAAAAACTAATCCAATCCATATGGATGTACCTGAAAATACAACATTTTTGTTCGCCGACCAACCTCAAAAGGGCTAATTAAGAGGAGGATCATGAGTTTATAGATAAATAACACTATCTCCATATTTTGGGGAAAACTAAAATAAAGTGACCAGAGCTCATGCTCAAAATGGACAATATAGGTTTGTGGTTTCTAATTTGGTATTAGAGCAGCATTCCAATTTTATTTTTGGTTTTTTAGAAATTATATTTATTTTCTCATAATTTTTATTTAAATATTTAAAATAGGTAGTCATTTAATTTACAAATAAAATATTTTCTAAGACGGAGCATTTATCTCATTTGTACACTAACATTTATTTTAATATTTTTGAAATAAATTACGGATCAAATTAAAATAATTATAAAAAAAACAGTGAAAATACTCCTAAAATGTTAAAATGTAGTAAATAATAATTGAAAAAAATTCAAAACTAATATTTAAAATGAGATTTAAAATTCAGTCAATTTTCTTTTTCTATTTTTGAAAAAGGAGGACAAATCCCATATCTATTTAATATTTAAAATTAGAAAATAAGTTGGGATGATATCCCAAATTTTTCTCCCTATATAACAAAAACCTTTCTTTATAAATAGGAGCAATGGCAAAAAATTTTATAAACCGAAGCAGTGATAAATTTAGTGATAAATTTTTTTATAAATGGAAGCAGTGACATTTTTTTATAAACGGAAGCAGTGACATTTTTTTATAAACGGAAGCAGTGACATTTTTTTATAAACGGAAGCTGACATTTTTTTATAAACGGAAGCAGTGACATTTTTTTATAAACGGAAGCAGTGACATTTTTTTATAAACGGAAGCAGTGACAATTAGGTAACTTATAGAGAGGGACAATTAAGTTTATAGGGAGTGAAAAATAGAGAGATGAACTTTACTAATTTCATCCTTATTTTATTCTGGTTTTTTCGGTTAATATCACCTGTCATTGCTGTAAAGAAGGTAATGCCTTTTTTGATTCTACAGTGTGTTCTTCTTATGTTTATTCTTAAGTTTACAAAGTATTATTATACGAACCCTAATTTTATTTTTTTGGGTTTCAGTCCTATATTGTGTTATTAGGATCTCACTCACATGGGTTAGAGGTATCAACAATAGATCTTCAAAGAGTGGTTGATTCCCATCACAAATTGCTCGGATCCTTCTTGGGGAGGTTTGAAGTTTGATTTTTTTTTTCTTTTATATATATTTGAAAATATAGCTATCATTATGTTATTTTGAATTAATAAAAATTGAAAATTTTCAGTTCTGAAAAGGCAAAAGATGCCATTTTTTACTCGTATAAGAACCATATAAATGGGTTTGCAGCCATTCTAGATGAGGAAGAGGCCACCAAGTTTGCAAGTAAATACTAAACTATTTTAACTTTAATATATAAACATAATAATTAATAATAATTAATAATAATAATTTATGAGACAGAGCACCCAGAAGTAGCAGCAGTGTTGCCAAACAAAGCCAAAGAGTTGCACACAACTCATTCATGGGAGTTCATGCATTTGGAGAAGAATGGTTTTATTCTCCCTTTTTCTCCTTGGAGGAAGGCTAGATTTGGAAAAGATGTTATTATTGCCAATCTCGACACCGGTAAATATATATTATCTTTTACTTATTCATCATATAACTCGATCGCATTAACATGAAATATCTAATTTAGATCATAAAGGTTGAGTTCGATTGTGGATTTTCATCTGGTTGTTCCTGTTATTGACCATTTACCTAAATTAGATCATAACGATTAGTTAAGATTGTGAATTTTATGTGGGTTATTTGGGTAAATTAAAAAGTTAGGTAAATTAAATATTTTTTTTGTTAAAAAAAAAAAAAGGTGTATGGCCCGAGTCCAAGAGTTTTGGAGAACAGGGCATAGTAGGAGGTGTGCCATCGAGATGGAAAGGAGGTTGCACGGATAAAACTCCTGATGCAGTGCCTTGTAACAGGTGTCATTGTTAATCATAATTTGATATTTTATTATTATTTTTAATTCAGATTAAAGGTGATTAACAACATTAATTATGATTGACACTAGGAAATTAATCGGAGCAAAGTATTTCAATCAGGGGGTAATCGCGTACTTGAAATCCCAAAATTTAACAGATGAACTCCCATTGATCGTCAACTCCACGCGCGATTACGTAGGTCATGGATCCCACACGCTATCGACAGCCGGCGGAAACTATGTCTCTGGCGTCAGCGTATTTGGGTCCGGTATCGGAACTGCCAAGGGCGGCTCTCCCAAGGCCCGCGTCGCTGCCTATAAGGTATGCTGGCCGTTCCACAACAGTGGCGGTTGCTACGACGCCGACATTTTTGACGGAATTGATCAAGCCATCTACGACGGCGTCGATGTCCTTTCGCTTTCCATCGGCAGTCCACCAGCCGAATACTATGATGATACCATCGCCATTGCTTCCTTTCATGCACTGAAGAAAGGAATCCCTGTGGTGTGCTCTGCCGGCAACTCTGGCCCGAGCATGGCGACTGCTACTAATATTGCTCCGTGGATTTTGACGGTTGGGGCTAGCACTTTGGACCGTGAATTTCAAGCCCCCATTGAGCTTGGAAACGGGCAACGCTTTTGGGTTTGTTTAAGAATATTTAGTCATGAATTATAATTTCACATATATATTATATTTTATTTTTATAAGCAAATATCCCTTCCATTACTGCTTAACCTATGTATCATATTTGTCCTCGTTTGGTTGAACATAAAATTTGTTCCTGGTGATTAGGGGTCGAGCCTTTCGAGACCATTAGCAGGGAGAAAGCTATACCCATTGATAACTGGAGCTCAGGCGAAAGCAACGACCGCCTCTGCCGACGACGCCATGCTCTGCAAGCCGAAAACTTTGGATCGTTCTAAAGTGAATGGGAAGATCTTGGTTTGCTTGACAGGGGGCTCTTCGAGAATTGACAAAGGAATGCAAGCCGTCCT